CACTTGTGACCAGCTTCTTCAGAGCCCAGTATGTCGTTCACATAGAGGATGTAGTCGCTGTCTTCGTTGTCGTATCCGTCGTTCTTCACGCCCTTGCTTGGCTTCGTTAGGACTCGACGGGGGTTACGCGAGGATTCGTATTTGAAATTCGGGTTGCATATTCTGTAAGTGGCAGGCAGGTGCACCGTGAGCGCTTGCAGGGGCTGGCAGAGTGGGTTAACAAGGCTCGGATGTGGTGCAATCGCGGGGTATTTGTGCTTACACTGATAAATCCGCCTTCCGGGTTGGCACGGCGGAAAGGAGGCTGCGAGCTGACCTTTGGCCGAAGGTCTGTCGGCCCTCTGCATGGTCTGAATTCGGGAGCAGGTCCTCTCTGAGGAATCGGGCGTCGCGGTGATTTGGGGTCGGCGGCAAAAGCACTGTCGAGGGCGGCAACAGTGGAAGACGGATAATTCTCATGGCCTGAGGCGTAGGGAGACATAGGGGGGAGCTGCTGTCCCTGCTGGCGACTACCATAATGGGGGCTCTGTGGGAGATAGTCGGATTGTCTCGTCGGGGACTGTCGTTGTCCCGGAGGTGATGCGAACTGACTCTGTGCGGACTTGGGCGCGTAAGGCGAGGTGGGGGACAGGGCCTCCATTGGCGAATACCGTTGGGCAGCAGCTGAGGGCTCCTGGGACGAATACAGCGTGGAAGACCGACTGCCTGAGAGATGGGACTGATGATGAGGTCTCATCGGGTACTTCATTCCAGCGTATGAGTCTTGCACATCGTGCATAGGGATGTCGCCGTTCCCGTCGCGCATCTGGGGAGTGGACATGGGGGAGGTGGCAGCGCTGGCAGTGTGAGAAGAGATACCTCCAGGGCTCTGATATTGATCGTACTTGAAGCCGGCAGGAGGCTGGCCCTGGGGAACCTGCTGTCCGTTGTAGTCTCCCCGTGGCATCTGGGCGCCAGTGCCATTGTATCTCCTCGCAGTGCCGGCCGAGTCGGCATAGCCCTGCTGCCACTGGGAGTCCATGGCGGAGGAGGAACGATGTTGACTCGGAGGAAAGGGAGCGTTACGGTCGATCGAAATCGGTTGGATTGAAAGATGGACGAATGCGCGGTCGTCGGTGATGTGAAAAGGAAGAAGATCGGGGCCGGGTAATTGAGCTGATGTCGTCGCTGGCTTCTGACTGCACGCGTTAGGCGGACAAATGGGGCCGGGCGACTGGCTGCGCTGGGAATGGTAAGGTTGGGAGGGCAGGTCGCAGGCACGCAGTAGTGCGAGTCGCTTTGGTCAGGACCGGCAAGGTAGGTAAGTATGTAAGGCTCCCAGGACAATGCCGTCGTGGATGGGTGGCCTGTCTTGGGTGGCGCCTGATGTGTGTGTGTGTGTGTGTGTGTGTGTGTGTGTGTGTGTGTGTGTGTGCTATTATTGCTGGGGACTGCTCAGCGCAGTGAAATGCGGTGCGATGACTTGCGCCGCGGGCAAGGACGCGGGAGGGTGGAATAGTGAGGATGGGGGACGACGGCGGGTTTGTCGCAGCACCTTGGAGTGAGGCACTAAGCAGGCGGCAGGACTTGGTGGTCGGGCTCAAGCTCAGGCTCGAATACTGATGCAAACCAAGCCCGGAGTGTGGCAGTCGCCGCAGTCGAGCCCTGAGGACAAGATTCGGGGGGAATTGGGCTGTGTCAGCCCAAACTCTCGTCGTGGGAATAAAGTTTGAAGCGGGAGGTTGGCGGTATTCTTTTTCTCGGGAACCTGTAGTGATAAACCCGTCTCAAGCCTTGCGAAACGAACGTGGCCGTGAAGGCGACAGAGAAACCGATGGGCTTGCGGAAGATGGAGGAGGACCACGTAGATTGACGACGGGGCTGTGGTGTGGTGGTGGAGGAGCACGAGGAGCTGACATCAAGGGCGCGAAATGGGGGAGGGGGAGGGGGAGGGGGAGGGGGCAGTGATGGATGTGGTGGGAGAGAAAGGATGCGATGCGAGCGTCCGCGGGCCACGATGATCACTGGAAAACAGAGCGGCCGTAGCAATACAGTCGCAACAAGTGTGGACAAGCACTGACTGGTTGTGGAGAGGTAGAAAGAGAATGTGTGTGTGTGTGTGTGTGTGTGCGTGAGAGAGAGCGGGAGAGGGAGAGAGACAGCAAGACACAACACAATGGAGGCGGGAAGCAATTAAAGCAGCAGGCAGGACAGCGCAGAGACGGGGAACACGGCCAATTGCTGCTGTGCGGCAGACAATGTCAACTGACGGGAGCAGCGAGCGTTGTGTTGCTTGATCTTAAGCTACACACACTAATTACAAGGACCCGACCTTACTGTCCGCGTTTGGCAGTGGACGCCAGCAGATGGACGCCCAAACACGGCTGCTTGTCAAGCTCCCCTATGTCAGACAACTCATGACACTTACCACAGGCCATCCAGCGATGCGCAAAGGCCCAAGGTAAGATAGTGAGTTAGAGACGAAGCAAGCGGGTGGGTGGGCTTTAACAAGGGTGTCGAGTGTGAAGTGTATGTGGGGTTCGCGAGTCGATGAAGCAGCAGTCAGGGAGACTCAACAGTGAAGGGTGGGTTGGCCGGTGCGCGGTGGAGAGGAGTGGACAGGATGCTGGGAAGCTTCCCATCTTCTACACCATCACGGAAGCATTTCAGTTCGTGGACATGAGGAAAGCTATACAGTTGCCTTTGGCCTCTTCCGGCGTTTGCAGCTCAGAGGAGGCTACGTTCATTAGCTGTGACTTTGCGACGACGACGACGACGACGACGGCGCCGACAACGTGGGTCCAGTCTGGCCTGGAAACAACGATTGACTGATGTGCATCTGATCCAATGGCCCTGAGTGTGTGCGTTGCGCGCCGCTCAGAGCACCCCAAGCACTCGAATGTGGGTTTGCTTTAGCTACCTTAAGCCGAGCCCAGCCCAGCCCAACGTGCCAAACGGTTCCGAATATCCGCTCCCAGCGCAAGGAAACGGAAGGGAAGCTGAGACGTCTGCTAACAACCCTGCTGCTCCCAGAGACTAATCTTGGTCCTTGGCTCTCTCTTGGTCAGAAAGCCTGTCGCTGTTTAGAAACCAGAGCAGGGTTGAACAAGATGAGCCTTTTGTCCACGGCAGACCTTGGTGAGGTAAGGTGCTCCGTACGGATAGTGAGAAAGCACAAGCAAGGGCCGCACCGATTCTTCATCAGTCCCCCGTCGCTGCAGATGCTGCCGCCCTTCATCCAAATTTGCTCTGCGTGCCACCAAAAGAAGATAGATATGCCCCACATGGCGATGTACCTTCCATTCAGGCGAAGAGCGACAACCTCCTAGAGCTCTGATGACTGCGGAATGCGGTGCCCGTACATGGAGCAATTGATGGTCTCAGAGCGAGCCGGTCATAACGACCATCATTTTGCCTCCTGTATCATTCACGCTCCTTATCACTCAACCTCCAGCCAAGAATCAAGGAAAATTCAAGGTCGAGTCGTCCCAAGAAGGCACGAGAAGCTCCTGCAGGTGGGCCGCAGCTCTGCGCTACTGCAGTACCTATGTGAGCTGTCTGACCCTCGCCTCGCTCGCTACTTTACCTGACTGGCAAGGCACAGAAGGTGGGTTGAGGGTAAGTTTTATGACATGGGCAACAGCAGTAACGACTCCTCAAGAACCCCTTTGACTCAATCGGGATCAGATAAAAGCATACGGTATATCTGTATTTCCTTACTCTCTTCTTCTCAAGATATCTGCTAGAGAGCTGTGCACCAAAAACACATCAGCGGAACCGGCAGGAGTGATGGTCTTGCAGATGACGACATGTCAGTCCCAGAACTGCTGGGCAGCTTCTCTCTCGCTGTTTTGTTTCCCCCTGCCCATACGTGTCGTCATTCGCAGGGTTCTCCGGGAAGGAATAGGTAGGCTAGATTTGGGTGGCTGTTATCCAGGATACCGGTGTGCCACAATGATTAGATTCCAACACACGGGGAGTCTCTGCGGCATTCAGTTGGCTCCAAAAAGCATCTGTAGCAAGTTTTCGCGTCCCTCGCGCTGAAAAGCATCAATCGGACGTTACACCATCCTCTCAACCAATACAAATGCTGTCACGTAGATCTCACCATGCACTCTAACATCAACCGCTAGCCCGCCTTGAGGTTCGGCGAATGTCTTGCAATGTTCTTTAATTTCTTTTCTCGTTGTTTCAAGCCTTTTCTCATCTTGTCGCACGAACTCGCTAATCGCTTGTCGCCTTCCACACTTCCTAAACAACACAAACATCGCAGCAACCCCAAACTGCACCTCTCCTCTCTTCTCCAGTCTGATTCTGGTTCGTACATATCTAAAAGGGGGAGGGGAGGGGGCCGGGGCGTGTTCCAAGTAACTGGGACCACACACGCATGAGTGAGAAAGAAAATGGGTTTTTGGGTCCAAAAGAAAAGAAAAGAAAAGAAAGTTGTGTCATAAGCTCGTCAATCCAACAGATTCGTCATGCTGAAGAGGTATCCATGAGAGAACAGAAAGTAGCAAACTTTTATGTCAACGGAACAGCATATCAAGTCTGCCTCTTACCCCGACAGGTTGAGAGAAAATGACCGCGTAAGGAAAGAAGAAATATCTGTGACTTGTTGGGAATCACTCAAGGCCGTAGAAGGAAAATACGAAGACGTAGTAAAGAACATTCCGGAAAATGCACATAATGGCCCCATCGCACTCCAAGTGCTCACACAAGAGAAACCGACACATGTCCCTCATCGCAGATGAAAGGAGAGGCAGAGAGAGATAGAGAGACGCCTTGGCAAGAAATGATTTTTTTTTTTTTTTTGGAAAACATGGGAGATGTGTTGGTCATGCCATTTCTGCCACCAAAAACATCAAGAACTCCTCAAAGATACCCCTAAATCCCGGCAATCGCTGTGTATGCGCGCAAGCATGAGAGAGAGAGACACAGAGAGAGAGAGAGAGAGATGTGCTTGTTTCGACCAACACGCATGGCGATACGCTCTGGCTTGCCACCAAGGCCGTTTCGAACATCTAGCCCTGGTATCCGGCGAAGCCGTTGTTGAAGTTCTGTCCCTGAGGACCCTGGGGCCACTGGGCATTGGGTGGCTGTTGACCACGACCGTAGCCTCCTGCGCTCTGGGGTCCGCCGTATCCCATCGGCTGTGCTCCGTAACCGGCCGGGGATTGAGCAGTCGGGCCGGCAAAGTTGCCATGCTGACCGCCGTACTGACCTGAATGAGAATGTTGTTAGTCCCAACCGATGCGCGAGCTGTAGTCCGAGTTCGAGCACATACCACCATACTGAGGGAAGTATGCCGTCGGGGTGCCGGGGTAGCCTGGTCCGGAGGCACTCTGCGGGCTGTAGGCCTGCTGCGAGGGGTCAAAGCCAGCGCTTTGAGGGTTGGGAGTCTTGTCCTTGCCCCACTTCACAAAAGAACGTCAGTGCTGCTTCTCCAATTCGATTTGGGGTGATCCAAACTTACACTGCACTTCAGAGGACGTCCATTAACATTATAGCCGTTCATTTGGCAAATGGCCATGGCCGCGCTCTCGTGACTGTCCATCTTGATGAAGGCAAACCCGCGGTCGGCCTGGAAACGAGACTCGACGACATAGCCGAAATTTTGGAAAAGCGGGACGACATCATTGGGGGTGGTATAGGGAGTCAGGTTACCAACATAACAGGTCGTCTGCCACGACGGCGTCTGGGCGAGAACGACCTCGTAGCTGGCGACGCCGTGAGCCGGGAACTGATGGTGACCAAATGGCGTCGTGGGGGTCAGGCCCATAGCCTGCATGGCTTGCTGCTGTGCGATGGATGGCTGACCCTTCTGGTTTGCCCAGTTGCAACGGATGGCGCGTGAGCCGAGCCACTCACCATCCATGGAGCTCAGAGCCTTCTCGGCATCAGGACGATCGCGGAAAGCCACGAAACCGTACCCACGAGATCGTCCAGTCTTCATATCCCACATGACACGGGCCTCCGAGACAGAACCAAAGGCGGAAAATGCCTGCGTCAAAACCTCATCGTTGACCTCGTTGCTAAGATCGCCAACAAAGATGTGGAAGTGGTTGGATGTGTCCTCCTTGCTGGAGGTGTTGGACTGGTATGCCCAGTTGACTCGGATTTCCTGTTAATCGGTCAGTTTCCGAGTGGTATGGCGGGGTTAGGCAATGCATACGGATTGATGAACACGTCTTCCGTTCAGGGTTTGCATGGCGCGTTCAGCGGCACCAGGGTCATCGTACTCAACGAAACCATAGTTGTAGCCCTTTGCCTTTGGCGCAAAGTTAGCAAATCTTCCAACAAGGGCCAAGGAGAAGCAGAAGGCTTTTCCAGAGCTGACGCCAAACTCATCGGAGCCAGCGGCATCTCCGCCCACAGTGTATACACGGATCAAATACGCACGTTCTTGTCGGGAATAATCTTGACGTTCTGAACATGGCCCGTCGTCTCGAAGATTTGACGCAAAACGTCCTCAGTGACACGCTGGTCCAGGCCTCCCACGTACAGCGCCCGCTTGTTAGGCTCGGGAGCCGCGCGGCGGCCGAATCCCCCGGCACTGCTAGGCGACATGATCTTGTCAACGCCAGAAAGAGGCGATGTGACGGCAGTCGGGATCGGGTTGGTGTTCTGGGGAATGTGCAGAGGCGGAGGCGGCATATGAGCCGGGTTGGACTGGCCGTTCTGACCATTCTCATAGCCTGGCGCACCGGCGTTCGGCTGAGGAGGAGGGGGCAGCTGCGCCGCGTTGGGAGCACCGTTGTCGGCCATTGTCCCTTCGTTCGGTATTAGGATGCGATCGCGCGACGATTTGGATCTCGAGAGATTGATTGGGACCGCGCCGACTTCGTGTGTACTGACGGTCGATAGCAATATTAGGGCAAATAGTCAGAAACCTCAAGAAGCAGAGTCTGGAGCAGTCTATTGCGCAATCTGACAGTTGGAACAGCGAAGCAGCAAACTCGTCGTTTCGAAAAGCAGGCGGTCGATTGTTCGTAGCTGGGTAGTGGCGTAAGGAGGGGCGGGAGTGGTGGTGGTGTTGGTACTGAAGAGTGTTCCCCGAATGTCTGACGTGACCCTAGAACCCCAACGCAAGGCAAAGCAACAAGGCCAAAAGAGCGAGAGGGAGAGAAAAGAGATGGGGACAATTAGGAAGAGGAGTCGAATTGTTGTTGGCGTGTCGACTCGTCCCAGTGCCAGGAGGTAGGTCGAGGTCGAGTCTTTTGGCGGTCTGGGTCAAACGACTTTTGAGTTGACTCTGACTTGGAGGTGGAAGGCAGCCGAAAGTCTCTTGGAAAAAATGTGGACGTGGGGACGGGATGAGCAGTGGCAGCTAAAAAGGACGTCGACCCAACGTGACAGGACAAGAGACAGAGAGAGGCAGACGCTCAAGCGGATAGAGAGACAAGGGGAAGGGCGAATGATAAGAGAGATGCCGAGATTGAGAAGCTCCAAAGTACTTTGAGTGCGCTGCGCTGGACTGTGCTGTGTGCTGTGTGCTTGCTGTACCGGCCGTTGCTGCGGGTGGTAGCTCCAGCTGTGGCGTACTTGCACCGGTGTTAGACGACTTGAAATGATGAGCGGAGACGAGCACCAAGGAAACAGGCAGGAAAGAAGAGGACTGGAAACCCCTGAAAGGAATTGCGACAAAAACCGATCCGAGGAGAGAGACGGGAGAGGAGGTTGCTGGTGGACGTGGAGGGGAGGAGGAGGAGGAGGAGGAGGAGGAGAGGAGATTCTACGATGGGGAGGGGGCTGGCCGGCGGAGGGGAAGGGGAGCATATGGGAAGAGGGCAATGAGGGGACTTTCATCATCCCAGGATTGGAGCACTAAACAACCCAACACCAAATTGCCTTGCCTGTCTTGTCTATACTACTTACCTATACGTTACCTACTTTGCCTGCGAAGCTCACTACACACATCCTCACCTTACCTACCTACCTGGTCTCACATGAGTACTTGCCTCCCCACGCAGCCCTGCAGGATGCAAAGTGTGCAACCAGATTTTCCCAGCGCCTCCGGTGCATATCCCGTCCTTCTCAACGTGCAATTGGACGAGGATCGAGTGCTGCAGCACCAGCGCGCGCAGCATCACACCTGGCACCTACCTGCCTGCTGTCGAAGGTACGACCTTACCTACCTACCGGGTGCCTGCCTACCTTACCTCAGTACAGCTGCACTCTTCTTCCAACACTACCTAGGTACCTCCTCTGAGCGCACTTCCAGATTTCAGCATATGGATGTGATGGGTCTTCAATCCCCACCACCGGCCCCAGAAGACAAGATTGGCCCGTTGAAGGTCTCGTCCAGCCCAGCCCAGCCCAGTGCCAGGCATTTGCCTGTCCTGCGAGCCTGTCCAATGGACACAGCTGTCCCCTATTCCCAGTCGGCCCAGGGTGGTGCTCCTAAAACCCGGGTGCCAGTCGCTGGTCACTCAGCGGCATGGGCTTTTTACCTCCTTCGTCTGTTTGTTGCTTGCCGCCGACGTCGAGTACACTGTACTTGTCGCATCCCGCACTCAACGCCGAGCCCCGAATGTCGAGGGCACTTGGGTCGAGCTTCCCGGTAGGTCAGGGCTTGTGGCGTGAGCAGATGGGATGGCAGCAAAAAAGGGGTGTTGCTGCAACAGATAGATCCAGCCTAAGCGACTAACGCTAGACCTCCTCTGGTATGAAGCCACCTACTGCCACTGACATACACTGACAACGTGGAACTTTACGCATCACACCATGAAGACATGCCGCACAGCTGTCAACGACAGCCCATGAGCGAGCCAGGCAAGGCCGCTTGGGATGGCGATGGCGAAGGCGACGGCGACGGCGATTTGCTTGCCCATAATCAACTGGCTCCCTCGGGGACACACTGTACTGAAGACCGTGAGGGTGGCCATAAGACGACGCATATTCCTAGGCAGCATTAATCCCATAGTATATGTGGGGTCGGCTATTCGCGGTGGCTCAAATGCGTCACATTAGATGAGGACGCCAACCGCTAAGAAGCACCATTAGATGAGCTCGAATGAGGCATGAAATGCGTGCGCTGACGAGCAATATTCGAGTCAATGGAAGCCCCGGCCATGGTATGGAACACTGGCTGCAAACAAGTCGATATAGGAAGGGGCTTAACGACTAGCGCAGAAATGATGGAATCCTCACAAAATCGAACGATTCCGTCAAGATGGGATATTCCTGGTCCTGCCTCGGTCACTTACCTTTTTTTCTTGTCTTCGCACTCCTGCCTCGTCCATCCCCGGTCATTACGGTCGAGTAACGAACAATTAAGCGCCGCATGGCGACGCTGGACATCTAGTGTCCAAGAAAGACGGCTCTTGATACAAGAAGGAGAGGTGTCCACTGGCACTAGATGAGGTTAGGAGATTGCAAGATGCTTCTAGTGGCCATTGAGCCTCACGACACCTCCCACTAGAGGAAATTCGCAGCCAGCCCATGCCGCATAAGAAAGAGACATCTGTGACTGAGGGTTTGGATTACGAAACTGTGTTGCAGGACACGACCAATCTCCCGGGAGAAGGGCTCCCGGCACGGATGGGACGAACACTCATCAGCTAAGTTAATCCACTGCATCGCGCCGCCGATAGGGCTATCCATACCTCCGTTTACCGTTACCTCAACGACATCTGAGAGCCTCTGCTTTGCATCCCGGAAAGGCATCGAGTTGATTGGTTCTTGTCGAGCGAATACTAGATAGGCAGATTGCTCCCCTCCTTGGGGTCTAGCATCCCCGCGCAAGGCTGCTCATACTTCTAACACTAGCCGTTCTGTAGCGAGTTGCATAGTACGGATACGGGAGAGAGCGTTCCTGGGCAGAAGCAGACGATACTAGTCGGGACACGCCGTTACGCTGAAATAGGCCGGGATTCTCACAGGAGCGTAGCCGGTTGCCCTTAGCTTTCGATTCTAGGGACCAAGACACGAGCTTCCCACATGGCATTTCCATGTTTCAAGTCGACTGAAAGCCCCCCTCCCCTCCTTCAATTGCCTTTCGTCCCAAGATTTTGATCTGATGCATGGAAGGCAAGTGTGGGGGACGAGAGACACAACCAAACAGCGCGCGATCAGGGAGAGGGGAAATGCCCTACGGCGGTGCTTGCCTAAGGTACCTAGTGTGCCTAGCGGTCTTAGGTAAGGCACGGTCGATATGGCGTTGCCAGTCCGCGCAGTACAATTGCTCGCCGTGCCCGCCTGAATATCCCACGTCTGCGTCCACACCCGTGCCGTGTTGGATGCGCGGGGTCACTGCTGCCAGGGTCGCTTCTTTTTCCACAGGTTGGCGCTGAGAGAGCTCAACAGCGGGTGCGTTAGCGCAACTGCGCGGACTACAGCGATTGGTTGAGCCTGAGGCTGCAGTCTCTCGGCACTGGACCCACCTTGTCTGCTCGGGCCTCTCCGTTCATCGTCTGTTTCTGCGTGCGGTACGTATCCCCGCCATTGAGGTCGGAGGTTGGCGGTAGACAGCTTCAAACGACATCAAACATTGACGACTTGTCGAATCAGTGCCACTTACAGCGCTCAGCAATTACATTCACTCTCAGTTATCGTCATAGCAGATTAGGGGCCTAGGCTTTCACTGTGTTGAACACGGCTTCACTGAGAACGCCATTTTCACATCCACATCTGCTTGCCAAATCCTTGGTTCGGCATCAATTCGGACATCATTTCAAGCATCGAAGCGACTTGTCACAACACATCTCGACTTGACGAGGCCGACTTCCACGAGACCTTCATACTTCTCACCCTTTCGACCAGCTCGAACAGCTTTTGTATACCTGGCCGCATAAGCTGGGGCTCGGCCGGTACATCCCACTGAGATGGTCACCTCGAAGCCGGCCGATATGGATCCTGCAGAGGCTCTTCATGGGCTCATCAATGACGCGGTTAATTGCACCTATCTAGACTGATTGGGAAGACTGCTGCTTACTTTACTCCTTCTCTTTATAGCTCGTACAAACAGGAAAGGCATTGAAAGCCTGGGGTAAGGATGGCAAGCACCAGCTTCAAGCTCACATCTCCCTCCAAACAAAGATGCCGGAAATTATTGAAAGCTTCCACTGGAAGCTGGATGACCTGGAGAGCGAAATTGTAAGTCGTTATTCTGTCAAGTCGGGATGTGTCTTGTCTGACCAATGCGGCAGATCAGAGCAAAGGCAGCTCTGCAAAGAGATCTGGACAGGATACAGGAGGCAAGAAGACCAATTCAACAACCGGCCCCGGTCGATGCGCAGACAAAGTCACCAATGGCCATCGACCTCGACTCCTCATCCGGGGAGCCGTCTCCCGACCAAAAGGCCCAGCTCACACAAGCTTCGGGCCCGCATAGGGTCCCCGCAGAGCCGAGCGCGGCTCCATCGATGGCCCCCTTCCCCGACATGGGCGTCAGCTTCCAGCCGCCGGTAGAGCCTGCGCAGGCAATCAAGCAGGAGCAGGCACCGGCACCTCCGGCTATGATGGCGCCCATGGGAGACGTGAAGCCCGAGGTAAAGACCGAACCTATTGCCACACAGCCTCCGCAGTCTGGCGCCCCCGAGGCCCCGATGGACGATCTATTCGGCCTGGGAGGAGACGCGGGCGGCGGCGGCGTGGAAGGAAGCAACTCGGAGTTCCACTTCACCGACATGACATTTAGTCTTGCCCCGCCAAATAACGACTCTCAGGGCCAACTCCAGTCTCAAGACGCCGCCATGGATATGTCATTCGGTTCTGGCGAGATGGGCGGCGATCTCCTGTCCCTCGACAACCTGCTCCCGCCGGAC